TCCACACTTCGCGTGTGGCTCAAGATGCTTGGGCTAAAGAGAACTTCGCTGAGTGCTTCGCTGACTTCAGGGTTGAGCTCTGTTTGTGTAGACTTCCGAGTTCAACAACAACAACAACCACCACCACCACCACGACGACGACGACGACGACAACGACAACCACAACCACAACGACAACGACAACAACAACAGCAGCATCAGCAGCAACATCATAATCAGCATCATCATCATCATCGTCATCCTCATCATCGTCATCATCATCATCATCAACAACATCATCATCGTCATCATCAACATCAACCAGCAATGGCAACGACAACGACGTCGAACCCATCACCACTACCACCATCATCATCAGCAACAAGAACACCATCAACACCAACATGCAAGAAGAACCTCCCCCACAATTGGAAGGGACAGTTCTTCCAGAGCGCAGCCAGCCCTCCCCCCCCGCGCCCTCCCAGAGCAGAATCCAGAAGAAGGGTTAAAGGTAAACCAAGGCCAAACAAGAACAAAACAAACACAGTTAGATCTAGCCAGAAACGTACCCTCCTCAAACCACTCATTAACTTTCCTACCGCAAATAGTAGCTTTTGCCTAACTTCGTGGCACAAAAAACCAATGACTGCCTCGCATGATTTGCGAAACCCCGTGTCCCCCCCCCCCCTATCAAGCGTCCACTTTCTCGGCTCGTCCCTCTTGCTTACTTGCTGGCTTGCCCTTTGGGCGCCCGCAAAAAGTTCGCGCCCCTGGTAGAGCGGAGGCAATTGGCAATGCGCGTCCCTTGATTTACCCGCCAAGGCCTGATGTCGAACCACCCGCGTTGCACGGCTAAAACCGCCAATCCATACCAACCCTAAACCCGAGACTCTCTTAGTTTTGCAGACATGCCCGATGATTCTCGTCAAATCGGCTTCGGCAACGCGCTGTTGACTTCGTCTGAGTCAAGACTGCGCTTGACCCTTTTTTTGTGTGGACACGCGGTTCAGCCTTAAATTTAAATGCGCCCACGAGACGGTAATCCACGAGAAGGACACAAACGCAGCAAAATATCAACAAGCCTAATTAAACCCTAAACCCTAACCCTCAACCCTAAAACCCTA